TCCCATTTTTATATTTAGTTTGATGAGGGGTTTTGAAAAATCTAATAATGTTCTTCCAACAGTGGTCTCTCCAAGATAAAGAACTTGTTGAGTACCAATGAAAATTACAAATCCTCTCCCAGTTCTCGTTTGTTATACCCATCCCCGATTCCAATTCCCATTTAATCTTAACATTTTGAGTAGTATCCTTCCTTGCTTGAAGGAGCACATCATATAGTTTGGAGATTGCCTTTCTCAGAGAACTATCATATGCTAATTTAACTATCTTAAAAATTTCTGACTCAACCATATTTGGGTTTGAAATATTGCAGTGTTTATTAAAGTAATCCCTCATTTGAAGAAACCTGAAGAAATCTCCTTGTCTTAAGCCATTTCTTATTTGTAAGGACTGGAAACTCTGTAGTGTCCATTTATGTGTGAAGGAATGGAATGTTGTTAATCCACTCTCTATCCAAGACTGAAATGTATTATCACTTTCATTTGGTTTAAAATCTGTGTCATAAGCACACCATCTAAATACTTTTAATATTCGTTCACTACCACATATTTTAGAGACTTTATTCCATATTTTTAAAGTGTGGCTAATCCATGGTCCTTTATCTTTTAAACGGTCTGCCAATTTTTTATCCGCAATTGAGGCTTGTAGTTGGAATTTAGGGGTTGTATTAAATTCTATGGATTTCCACTTAGCTTTCAAATTCGATTACACCATTGCAGCAGGGGGATGACCTGAGATGCATAATAGTAGTATTGTAAGCATGCCCCCCCTTTTGCCTTACTTAACTGTAAAGATCTAAATTTAATTCTTGGTTTTTTCCCATGCCAAATAAAGCGCGAAATCCATTTGTCCCATTCCCCAAACTGTGTTTGACTTACTTCAACAGGCAAAGTTCTAAATAAATAGAGGAGTCTTGGGAGTACATTCATTTTCACTGCTGATATCCTTGGGTTTAAATTTAAGAAAGGCACCAGATTCCACCTATCTAAATCAAATTTTATGGCCTGTGATAAGGGACCATAATTTACTTGTGATTAGGGATGGGTATCGAAAACCGGTTCTTGTTGAGAACCGGTTCCCACTGTTTCAATTCCTTGGAATCGTTTGCCATTTTTGCAAACGATTCCCTTATCGATTCCAGTCGCCCTGAATGACGTCACCACGTTGCGGAGCGTCATTTACCTGGCAGGAAACATGGCGGCTCAAACGCTAAAAAGTTTGGTTATACTTTACAAGAAAGGATGACAACAGGGCAACTCTCAATACTTGCAAAGTAGATACTTCATTTAAGGGAGGAAACACTACGAATATGCAAAAGCATTTGCTCACAAAACACGCGATGCCCTTAAATGAATGTCGTGTTTTAATTCCGCTCCGGACTCGTGAATCTCAACCCAGCAGCAGCGGCGGTAACGTTTGCACATCCTCTCCCGTTAATGCGGCAGATAAATAATCAACTAACAGTGCATATTATGTTAGCGCGATCTGCCTTATCTGCCATTACTGCGCGTTTAGGTGACCATGATGAGAGAGACAGAGTCTGGCTGGCGCTCGCTGGCAGTTCTTGCTGCAGTCTACCGGTAGCGTCTCCTTTCAAGCCAGGATAGACTAATGTCACCGAGCAGTGACTAAGTTTGTGGTCAAAGGCTTGCACCCATTTGCCACAGCAGATGCCCCCGATTTTCGGTAAGTGAATGTGTTTAATTGTAGGCAGGGACATTACTGGATATTCTTGTGTAATTGCTACAGAATAATTTATGTTATACTTTGTTATTGCTACAGAAGATTATTTATTTTATTATTTTACATTTACAATTTTTTTTCCCCGGGGTCCCTGTGACACCACATTGAAGAGCCATAGGCTGGATCTCTTAAGATCTCACTGTTGGGTTTTTAAGGCCATGTTACTCCTACATTTCTATCTTGTTCAAAGAGAAGATATAAAACAAAGTTCTAAGCTAATCGACCTTAGTGTTCTCCTTTTTTAAAAAGAATCGATAAGAGAATCGATAAAGAATCGAATCGTTAAACAGAATCGAAAATGGAATCGGAATCGTGAAAATCTTATCAATACCCATCCCTAATTGTGATAGATTAGAAATATTCTTAGTTAGAATTATTCCCAAGTATTTAAGTGTTTCAGCTTCCCAATTTATATTATAATTATCTCGTAAAGTGTTAGATGCTATATAGTTTAGTGTCATTACCTGTGTTTTGTTTAGGTTTAATTTATAACCTGACAGTTCCCCAAAAACGGATAGGGAGGACATCCATCCATCCACCCATCCATCCATTTTCATCCGCTTTATCCGAGGCCGGGTCGCGGGGGCAGCAGCCTAAGCAAAGAGGCCCAGACCTCCCTCTCCCCAGCCACCTCCTCCAGCTTATCCGGGGAATACCAAGGCGTTCCCAGGCCAGCCGAGAGATATAATCTCTCCAGCGTGTCCTGGGTCTGCCCCGGGGCCTCCTCCCGGTGGGACATGCCTGGAACACCTCACCCAGGAGGCGCCCAGGGGGCATCCTTGTCAGATGCCCGAACCACCTCAGCTGACTCCTTTCGATGTGGAGCAGCAGCGGCTCTACTCTGAGCCCCTCCCGGATGGCCGAACTTCTCACCCTATCTCTAAGGGAGAGGCCAGCCACCCTTCGGAGGAAGCTCATTTCTGCCGCTTGTATCCGCGATCTCGTTCTTTCGGTCACTACCCACAGCTCGTGGCCATAGGTGAGGGTAGGGACGTAGATCGACCGGTAAATTGAGAGCTTCGCTTTTACACTCAGCTCCCTCTTCACCACGACGGAGCGGTGCAGCGTCCGCATTACTGCAGCTGCAGCCCCAATCCGTCTGTCGATCTCCGGCTCCCTTCTCCCATCCGGCTCCCTTCTCCCGAGATACTTGAACTCCTCCACTTGGGGCAGGAACTCATCCCCGACCCGGAGTGGGCACTCCACCCTTTTCTGGCTGAGAACCATGGCCTCAGATTTAGAGGTGCTGATCCTCATTCCCGCTGCTTCACACTCGGCTGCGAACCGCTCCAGTGCGAGCTGGAGGCCCTCACCCGATGAAGCCAACAGAACCACATCATCCGCAAAAATCAGAGATGAGATTCTGAGGCCACCAAAGCGAAAGCCCTCCGCCCCTTGGCTGCGCCTAGAAATCCTGTCCATAAAAATTATGAACAGAACCGGAGACAAAGGGCAGCCCTGGCGGAGCCCATCACCCACCGGGAACGAGTCCGACTTATTGCCGGCAATGCGAACCAAGCTCTTGCAACGGTTGTATAGGGATCGAATGGCCCGTAGCAATGGGCCAGACACCCCATACTCCCGCAGCACCTCCCACAGGACACCCCGAGGGACACGGTCGAATGCCTTCTCCAAGTCCACAAAACACATGTAGACTGGTTGGGCAAACTCCCATGCACCCTCAAGTATCCTCGAGAGGATAAAGAGCTGGTCCAGTGTTCCGCGACCAGGACGAAAACCGCATAGTTCCTCCTGTATCCGAGGTTCGACTAGCGGACGAACTCTCCTTTCCAGCACCCTGGCATAGACTTTCCCAGGGAGGCTGAGGAGTGTGATCCCCCTGTAGTTGGAACACACCCTCCGGTCCCCCTTCTTAAAGATGGGGACCACCACCCCGGTCTGCCAGTCCACAGGTACTGCCCCTGATCTCCACGCAACATTGCAAAGGCGTGTCAACCAGGACAACCCTACAACGTCCAGAGACTTCAGGAACTCGGGGCGGACCTCATCAACACCAGGGGCTCTGCCACCAAGGAGTTGTTTAACTGCCTCAGTGACCTCGCCCCCGGAAATTGGCGGGTCATTCCCCTCATCCCCAGACTCTGCTTCCTCCTCGGAAGACGTGTCAGTGGGATTAAGGAGGTCCTCGAAGTATTCCTTCCACCGCCTGACAATTTTCTCAGTCGACGTCAACAGCGCTCCGCCAGCACTATACACAGTGCAGGTAGAGCACCGCTTTCCCCTCCTGAGACGCCTGACGGTTTGCCAGAATCTCTTCGAGGCAGTCCGAAAGTCTTTTTCCATGGCCTCTCCGAACTCCTCCCACACCCGAGTTTTTGCTTGAGCCACTGCCCGAGCCGCATTCCGCTTGGCCTGTCGATACCTGTCGGCTGCCTCCGGAGTCCCACAGGCTAACCAAGCCTGATAGGACTCCTTCTTCAGCCTGGTGGCTCCCTTCACCTCTGGTGTCCACCATTTGGTTCGGGGATTACCACCAGGGAGGACATCAACTCCTCAAATGATTCTTCAGGTTCCTTCAAAAAGACCAAGACATCATCTGCAAACATTGCAACTTTTTGTTCTTCCCCAGCAAAAACAATGCCTTTAATTTTGGTATTGTTTCTTATAAACTGACCAAGAGGCTCAATAGAAAGTGCAAATAAAAGTGGTGAGACTGGACAACCCTGCCTAGTCCCTCTTTCTAAAGTAAATAATTCAGATAAATCTCCATTGACTTTCACACAAGCCCTTGGTTTATCGTAAAGGGATTGTATTATTCTATAGAAAACTAGAAAGTCTCAAAGAGAATTATCAGGTGTGGTGTTCGAGAAGATTTGTACAATTACATTTGTATAAACATGTGTGTGAAAGACCATAATATACACACACACATACATACATACAAAATTGTTAAGTCAGGTAACACCAGAGGCTCACGATGGCTAGCTTTGGTGATGTGAACACCACATGGGGAGGTAATAAGGCAGATATAACACTATTTCATGTTAGCCACAGGACATGTAGGGCAGCTGTCACCTCACAGCAAGAAGATTACTGGTCTGAAATTTGGCTGAATAATAGAATAGAACAGAACAGAATAGAGTAGAGTTGAATAGAATAGAACAGAATAGAGTAGAGTTGAATAGAATAGCTGGTGACTCTGAACTATCCTCGTCTTCACCATCTTGTTTGTCTCTATGTACCTCGTGGTGAACTGCCTACTTATCTAGGGTGTACCATGAGTATCACCCAAAGACAGCTAGGATAGGCTACCTGATAAGGACACCTGGTTACAGATAATGGATCTCTTCATGAGGATGTCACGTGCAGCACCTTCTGCTGGTTCGATGTGAGAGATCACGTCCCCTACTATACGGCTCTTACGGTCAAACTGTCCAAGAAACAGAATTGGCTGGTAGCCCAGGGCGTGTAGTTTTGAAACCTGCAAGAACAACAAAGAAAAACATGCAGCCAGTCTTTTATGTAAGCAAATGGATGTATAACAAACCTTTAAGTTTCACATCTTTGTTGTTTTATTGTTTTAGATAGTTAAAAAGTATTTATGGCGACCAAACCTGTAAATGTCTGATCAAATCCATCTTGAAATGTTTTGTCTCTCAGTTAATAGCCGATTAAATGAAAAAATCAGAAGTAGCTTAAATTAAAATAGTTGAAGTTTTTTCTAGTTTGATGTCTTTAGTGTGATGATGTTATTCTGATGTGAATAACTTTTTTTATTTATGCTCTTAGATAAATTAATGTTTTATGTGTATATACATGTCTTGTTAGTTTCTTACTTCATGATATACAAGAAAACATTGACAACTGTGATTAATAAAGAATTGTCTAGCAGACCAACCACTTATTAGATCAGAACTTTTAAACTTACTGACAACTGGGCTGAATTAACCACCCTGCTCGCATTTCTGTTGTTTTCAACAGAGGCAGCCCAGTTGCTGTTTTTAAACTGTTCTGGGTTTTTTCCAATCCCTCCTTTACGTTCAGGCTGCCCAGGCATCCACTGCATGTCTTCCTGTTGCAGGTGTTTGCAGCCTGACACGAAGGGCATGGTTTGGTTTTTGGCTTTGTCATTTCTGCAAATGAAAATGGAACATGTAGGGATTATTTCAGGTCTGTTTTGGTGAAATGATTACAAAAATAATTTGTGACCAAAGAAATAAATAATATAATAATAGGCAGTATTACACCATATTTAGAAAAAAAAAATCAATTAAGAGATTACAGGGGAGCCGGAGATCGACAGACGGATTGGGGCTGCAGCTGCAGTAATGCGGACGCTGCACCGCTCCGTCGTGGTGAAGAGGGAGCTGAGTGTAAAAGCGAAGCTCTCAATTTACCGGTCGATCTACGTCCCTACCCTCACCTATGGCCACGAGCTGTGGGTAGTGACCGAAAGAACGAGATCGCGGATACAAGCGGCAGAAATGAGCTTCCTCCGAAGGGTGGCTGGCCTCTCCCTTAGAGATAGGGTGAGAAGTTCGGCCATCCAGGAGGGGCTCAGAGTAGAGCCGCTGCTGCTCCACATCGAAAGGAGCCAGCTGAGGTGGTTTGGGCATCTGACAAGGATGCCCCCTGGGCGCCTCCTGGGTGAGGTGTTCCAGGCATGTCCCAGCGGGAGGAGGCCCCAGGGCAGACCCAGGACACGCTGGAGAGATTATATCTCTCGGCTGGCCTGGGAACGCCTTGGTATTCCCCCGGATAAGCTGGAGGAGGTGGCTGGGGAGAGGGAGGTCTGGGCCTCTTTGCTTAGGCTGCTGCCCCCGCGACCCGGCCTCGGATAAAGCGGATGAAGATGGATGGATGGATGGATGGATGGAGATTACAGTCGTAAATATTGAGTAAATTGCGAGAATAGGGTTAAAAATACTGAATTAATTACAGAAAAGATGCACTGCTAAAATAGAGCAGTACTAACGGTAGCTGGGTGGCCAAGCAAGTGACTTACACAGGAGAATACATTGCAAAAGGAAACATTAAATAAACTTTTGCAGAAGTAGTTCTCTTGGTACACAGACTGCTCTGTGAAAACATTTCAAGTTTGATATCAGCTGATTAATATTTTCAGTGAACATGCAAATTACCAACAGTTTATCACAACTTACTTAGCTAGGATCTGCCTCGTGTCGAGAAACCACTTGGCAGCAAGACCGTGAGTTGAAACATACATTTACTACGACTCCCAAGATGCATTGCAGTAAAAGCCATCCAATCGCCTTGCTTAAAATCTGTTGACAAAGGCGCGCTGCAGATAAATATTTCAATTTGTAAAAAAAAATAGAAAATAAATAAATAAATGATAATTAAAAAAAAATAAAATGACCAATTTGTAATGACACCATTAAACACTGGGCCAGTTTATTTTCGTATTATGATGATAATTATCGCTGGTTATTATTTTAGAACAAATACAGGAATAACGGGTAGCGTCAAGCTGCTGATTGTCTTCATTTCCATAGCAACGGCGGTTGAGGATTATGGGTATGCAGTTATGGGATTAGTGCGCCGTTAGCCTAAATTGGTCTTGTCGAGATGAGAATATTATTTTACTGTTACTACTCATAACCATTATTATTACTGTTGCATCACTTATCATTTATCATTATCATTTCGTCAGAGCATTTATTGAAACTGTTGATGTTACATTAAAGTCTGTATTTCAGGTGTGAGCATAATTACATAACAATCTTTCATTGCAGGTGCAGCTGTAATCATGTTATACACATATTGCATTTTTGTGCTAATTAAAGAGTTGAAGCTCGGTCAAGTTAATTAATTGTCTGAAGCTTCGGTCAGCGCGACATCTGGCCAATCAATAGGAAGTTAAGGTGACCTGGAGCCACGACGGGATTGCATACATGCTTACAATTCACCACATATTATATAGGAATAGCCTGTGGGTGTTCAGCAGCCTGCTGCATTGGAGTTTGCCTGGTAACAGATGACTCAAACGGAGTCAGGAAGTATACTTCTAAAATGTCTTTGTTTGTCGAGTGAGGTCATGCACTGAGGTCAAGACACATAGTCTGCCTGCACACATGCACAGTATAAAGACTTGTTTTGCTTGTAAACGGCATGCTCATGTTCTGTTCTGAAGTGCAGTAAGTGAAATAACAGGAAGCATCTGGTGGTGGCGGAGGAACAGAGGAAGGAACTGTTCTTTTTTAGAATATGGAATTACTGGAATTGATGCATGTTATTTATCTGTTTTGACGCATAATGTTCGTCATCAACTATGTTTATATATATGACTCCTCATTTATTGTTCTGGGAAGATCGGTGCTGTTTGAGTGATCGTGCTCGGCTTCCCACATATATGTGCTTCAATAAAATCATTGTTTTGACGCACAATGGACCTCCAGTCGTTTGTCTCTCACCTCAAATACGAATTCAGGACAGTCTGATTGGTTGGAACCGAGCGCAGCCAAAACTAACAGGAATGGTGGATAAAACTATAAATGTGTTTTACGTGTGAAATAAAATAATAAACCCAACCAAGGTTTATGTACGTTAAATCTGCGCACTTTCAGATCGTGAATCAATTTGGAAAACACTGTGTGATGGCCACAACATGAAGCGATTTTATTGTTGAATTATCAGTGACACGTTCATGTGTTTTTGTTGAGAAATGTTAACGATGTCATTCAAAGAAAGCTTTGAATTAGGGAGAAAAACACGTCGGGGGAGAGGGTCCCCGGTTCTCCAGTTAGGTTGTGCTTCATGTTTCGCCGTGACGGGGTTATTATTGGAGGAAATCATTGACTATAGAAAAGATGGACGACGCGACACCGCCTCCTCCCATTGTGCAAAAATGAAGCCAAAATATCCCGCTTGTGGAGGCTGCCATCTTGCAAATTTGGAGCCAGAGTCTGCGCAGTAGTGACTTGAGGTGGAGCGACTGTGTAACGCTCCCGCCCACACACCCGCTGGACGTGACCGCAAACATGCCCCCCTACACCTTTTACGTAGCCCGGCTGCTCGAGTTCTTTTGCTGGTTTTTCCCGCGACTGACATGAAGTGTGCCCCCCCACCTTCTTCAAATCCAACAAAAGTGGTATCAAACGTTTATGCTATGTTTGTGCTGCAAAATTTTTTGTTTGTGCTGCTATCATTTTAAAGATATTCAAGAAAATTTCTAGAGGTCCCCAGAGGTCAACCAGCCCCCCCACATTAATTAAATCAAACAAAACTGGTGTCAATCAACTGTGCTACGTTTGTGCTGGTTTGTGCTGCTAAAATTGTCGTTTGTGCTGCTTCTGTTTTAAAGATATTAACGAAAATGTAAAGGTCAAAAGGTCTCTTCAGTATCCTTCCTGATGGCAGCAAACTGAAGACGCTGTTGAAGAGATGAGTGGAGTCACCTGTAATGAAGAGGACCTTTCGAATGAGGCAGGCGCTGTAGATCTCCTGGGGAGGGAGGCAAGAGAGGTCCCTGCAATCCTCTCCACTGCTCTCACTACCCGTTGTCATATTTTTCCTGCAGGACCCAGTGCAGGAGTCATACCACACAGTGATGCAGTTGGTGAGGATACTTTCAATGGTGCTCTTTAGAAGGTGCTCATAGTGGGGGTTGAATCTCTTGTCAGCAGAGTGAAGAGAATTGTTATGTGCATTATTATTCAGCCCCCTTTGGTCTGAGTGCAGTCAGTTGCCCATAGACATTGCCTGATGAGTGCTAATGACTAAATAGAGTGCACCTGTGTGTAATGTAATGTCAGTACAAATACAGCTGCTCTGTGACGGCCTCAGAGGTTGTCTCAGAGAATACTGGGAACAGCAACACCATGAAGTCCAAAGAAACACTGATGGACGTGTGGACAGCAATGCTGCTTTGAGCAGTACCGATGTTTCAGGGCTGGATGACGTTTCTGGGTGGGGCATCTACATCCTGACATATCAAGGTTACTTTACTTTTAGGTCAATTTGCTTTACAGAAAAATAATAGCATTTGTCATCAAGATATTTATATGACTGCACTTGCTCAGGTTTGTCCAGATTTCAAACTGTTCTAAAAGTCTTTTGATTCAAATCTGGGGCTGTGTTATTGAAAGCAGCAGAGAAATCGATGAACTGAAGTCCTTTACTCTCTAAATGTTTGACAATCAGGTGAAGTAGAATCAAAAGCACGTCCTCCACTCCTCTATTGGGCTTATGTGCAATCTGCATTGAATCAAGCTGAAGTTCAGTGTCTTCCATAATCACATTTCTGATGATTTTTTCAAAGACTGAGGTGAGGGCAGCAGGCCTGAAGTCGTTTAGAACTTTTGGACGACTAGATTTAGGACCAGGAACCACAACAGCTTCTTTCCAAAGAGAGGGCATGAACGATTTATTCAGAATAACTTAAAATATGGGACTGAGTTGTCTGTGACGGTTCTCAGTCATCCAGGTCATTGTAGACTAAGGAGCTTGGAAAGAAAAGCGTCTGGACTTCTTTGAGTTGCTTGAAGACGTTCCACCTCTCATCCGAGAAGCTTCTTCAGTTCTAGGGTCAATTGGTGGAGAGTCCCAGATTTAAACCCAGTGGGAGTTTCCCACCAAAGAGGCAAGGCAAGGCAAGGCAAGTTTATTTGTATAGCACAATTCAACAACAAGGTGATTCAAAGTGCTTTACAGAGACATTAGAAACAAAAACAAATAAAAAGCATGATTTAAAATTGATTAAAACAAGCAAATAAACTAACTAACTAATTAACAAACAAACAAACAAACAAACAAAACAGTATATAAAATCAAAACAGATAAAATCAGAACAGTAGATAAAATCAGTAGTTAAATGTAAGTTTTGAAATTTAAGCTTAAAAGTGTGGATTTGGTGCTTTATTCAAATGCAGCTGAGAACAGGTGAGTCTTCAACCTGGATTTAAATAAACTGAGTGTTTCAGCTGATCTGAGGCTTTCTGGGAGTTTGTTCCAGATATAAGGAGCATAAAAGCTGAATGCAGCTTCTCCGTGTCTGGTTCTGACTCTGGGAACTGATAAAAGACCGGATCCAGATGACCTGAGGGATCTGGAAGGTTCATACTGGGTCAGGAGGTCATTGATGTATTTTGGTCCTAAACCATTCAGAGCTTTATAGACCAGCATCAGAACTTTAAAGTCTATCCACTGACGGACAGGCAGCCAGTGTAAAGACCTCAGAGCTGGACTGATGTGGTCCACTTTTTTGGTCTTAGTGAGGACTCGAGCAGCAGAGTTCTGAATGAGCTGTAGTTGTCTGACTGATTTTTTAGGTAGACCTGTAAAGATGCTGTTACAGTAATCAAGCCTACTAAAGATGAATGCATGGACTAGTTTTTCCAGGTCCTGTTGAGACATCAGATCTTTTATCCTTGAAATATTCTTGAGGTGATAGTAAGCTGACTTTGTTATTGTCTTAATGTGTTTTTCTAAGTTTAGGTCTGCATCCATCACTACACCCAAATTTCTCGCCTGGTTTGTGGTTTTTAGATGTATAGATTGAAGTTCTCTGGTGACCTGTAATCGTTTTTCTTTGGCGCCAAAGACTATTACCTCAGTTTTGTTTTTGTTTAGCTGGAGAAAATTGTGGCACAACCAGTCATTGATTTCCTCAATGCATTTACCAAGAGCCTGCACAGGGCCTTGGTCTCCTGGTGACATTGTGATATATATTTGTGTGTCATCTGCATAGCTGTGATAGTTTGTTTTGTTGTTGTTTATAATCTGTGCCAGTGGGAGCATGTAAATGTTAAACAGAAGAGGGACAAAGGACCCCCTGATGATCCTCTACGTAATCACATGAGCTAAGGTGTGAATGCGGGTGGGGGTCCTAATCAGCCAGGGTTTCGGGTGAGCTCATTGTGAAACCTGGCCCCACCCTATCATGTGATTTCCTGAGTCAGATGGCCCAGGATGTGAGTGGGCGTTAAGGCGTCTGGGGAGGGAACTTAAAACTGGATTATAGATTATTTATATTATATATTGATATTATTTATCTGAATATTTATTTATCATAACTGTTTCTACACTCACTTTATATGAGTGCTTGTTGTTTCTTGTATATTTGCTGCTATGACAACTCAGTTTCCCTCCTGGATTAATAAAGTTTCTCTGATTCTGAAATACAGTGAGCCATTATATTTGTAGTTTCTAACTACACTGTAAAAACTGTGACTAGAGGTTACTTTAAAAAGTTATGGCAACAAAGTGACACTTGAAATAATTAAGTAGATTTTAATTTCAAAAGATTTATGTAAAATGTAGAGAAAATGTTAATTAAATTCAAATAGAAAACAAAAGTAGATATTAATAGAATTAAACTGTAAATATGTGTTGGATTTAGGGTCAAAATCTCAAACTGAAGGTTTAAATTGCCCAACTTTACCAAAAAAAATAATTGATATGAAATAAGTCTCTGAGAAAAATTACTTTGAATTTACTAACTATCTGGCAAAGGTTTAGTAAAAACTTCCTAAAATATCCATTACAAAGAAATGAAATCTTCTTGTTTTTTCAGTAAAACTCAAATTGGATTCAATAATTATCCAAATAAACCTTAAAAATAATGACTGAATAATAAGAGAAAATGAAATGAATTTTACTTATTTTCTGAGTAAAATGAATCGATTTCACAAAGAAAACATCAAAACAGTAATTTGTTTTATTGTGGAAAATAAAACACAGTAATTTATAATATAACATTTTTCTGCTCGTATACACTGAATCCTCATCAACAATCTCCTGATTGCTGTAAATCTCTGCTGTAAATTTGTTTTAGTGTCATAAACAGTTTATCACACAGCTTTGTGTACAGAGCAACAGCAACATAAACTGCATGAATGTAAACCAGTTTTGTAAAAAGAAATTAATCTTTAGACTGTAATATCAACATGAACCTGAAATTTGAATATCCTTTACCGTTTCCTTTATCTCTGTTACTTATTTATGATTGACTAACAAAAACTTTAGTTAGTCAATCTTTTGTTAAATTGAATCACTCAATATAACTGTAGAACAAAGGTTTTTCACTCATGTACATGGAATATCAGTAATGTAAATCAACCTTTTATCCCAATTTGGATGTTTAACCTGAGAAAATCTAAGACACATGTAAGAGGAAGTAACATTTCTACAGCTACAGGACTGCACTTCTGTTAAATTTTAAAGTTGTTTTAAACTAATATTTTATTGTAACACTATATATATATACACTATAAACAAAGAAAAGCTTCACTAGTGATTCCTCCAATTTGCTGCCTTTCAAACAGAATATTCCTAAGAAACTTGTAGGTAATAAAAAACAAACATTAAAATGAAGAGCACAAATACAGCCTGACACATTTTAGGTCATTTGGGTAAGATATGAATAAGATGAAATTAACTTGAAAACTGAAAAGATAGCTGCATCTAACAAAGACAAAGGTTTTCAGTGAGCTTACTTCCCTTTCATTCTTTCAGAGTCCTCGTTTAAGCCAATAACTTGTTCTTGAGGCTGTTCACTTTTGGTGAGAGCTTAGCACAATCCAGTTCAAGGAAAAGTTTCTGGAATACTTCCAAGGTGTATTTTAGCTCTTTGGGATAGGCAAGATCGACTGCATATGTCAATCCAACCAGCATTGCGCATGCTCTTGGAAATTTGCCCAGAGCAGGCATAACTCTCACACCCTCCAGCACAATGCCAATGTCATCCTCCTCAGATCCAACAGCCTTGATTTTGTAGATTTTCATCCTCTGTTCAGAAAGATCTTGTGACACACCATCCTCATCAGCATCCTGAAACAACAAACACATGGGTTTTCTGACTGTAGTTGCACACATCCTGTAGCTGAATGACAAATAAAACATGATAATGCCTGAAATTATTTGAAACTTGACAAACACATATGAATAACAAAAACAGAATAATGTTTCTACTTCAACACTTACACTGTACTCTTTGATCAGTTGATCAATGGACTCCCCAAGGTACACCATCAAGCACTGAATAACCAGATTTCTGGTTATGTTATTGCTAGGATTGCTTGGTGACTGAAAATGAGCAAGAATTCCAAAAATTGCCATCAGATAAGTGACCATTTATTAAGACAAAACTGTGAGAATTGGCAGTATTAAAAAAAAAAGTTAAATATCAAATTATCATCACATGGAGCATTATGTGCGATAATTAGCTGATGTTAATGCACATGCCTGGGTGCTGACAGTCAACACAAAGGTATTGTCAACATGCTTGTAAGCTTCAATCTTTAAATGTGTCATTTTAGTAAATTACATTAATTTAGTCATTTAGTTTTTTATCTAATTTAGTTTATGTTCGTCAGAAAGGGTTTTTCCTTCTTGGGACAAAACAAAAACCCAGCAATACCTGTACTTGTGTTTTTTTGTTTGTTTTTTGTTTGTTTTTTTTACTAAGAATAGACATGTATTTAAAATACAATTAAAACATGAAACCCATAATTGTGTTGTTAATTATATCAGTGACGTCCTGGCGTCCTCTTGCACTGACAAAAACATGCAAACAAATTAGTGGAGCTGTGCACCATGCAAATGAAATTTGACAAAAAAATTCTTTAAATAAAATTCCAAGCTGAAATGTCTGTGGAAAATACCTTGGCTATGATAGCCTGCAACTTCAATCCCATGGCTCCCCCCTTGGAATGGAAAAGGGCCAACAGTTTGGGAGTGTACTCATCCAGCATGGACATGAATTTGGGTTCAAGGTGTACCAGGGTGATCCTGTAGAACTCATCCTGCAGCTGAACGACAAAAAAAACATGATGCGGCCTCAAATTATTTGAAGTTTGAAAGATTACATTAAAAAAACCCAAAAGCCCACCCAAAATGAATTTGGAACTCACATGAGATGCCTCAAACAATGCTGGCCATCTGGCTTTGATGTCTTCGATGCTGGGGGACAGGTTGACAATTTCATGTTGTCTATGTGCAAATGTTTTAGCCATTTTTTCTTTTATCACTTTGTTGGTGTCTCTTTTCTTGACTTCAGTAAGCAACTGAATTCTCTCTTCTTCTTGACTGTCCTCATCTTCACCTGCTGGATATGGCGGAAGGTAATTTACCTCTGCTTTCCGAGGCTTTTTCACTTTATTTGCAGACTTCTGGTCACCTGGACTCTTGTGTTTCATGGCATTGCATGTCAACTCAGGAACACCAAACCCTCTAAGTTTTGTACGATAATTGGCCATCTTGTATTTGATGCTTTGTTGCCAACCATAATAACCTGAGAAAGAGCCAGGTTCCTTGAGACAAGGGTATTTTGTCACAAGTGCCTCAGCAACATAACTAACCTGTGCACTTGAAGGATAGGCCGTAAATGTAAATATAGTTTCAGCCAACTTCTCAAGAATATCAGTCTTTAGTTTGGAGGTGGGCAGAAGATTTCCATTCTTTTTATACTCCTCAGTGGCTCTTTCCAGGTACATCTCAGTTTCATATGCAAACTGTGGAATGGGAAACTGTTTTGGCTAGGGCTCACAACGTTCTGTGGTCTTCTGCCTTTGAGAATAATGGTGTCCTGAGAAGAAGTAGTTGCAGCAGAGTCTGCATTGGATACAACTGACTCAGCATATGAGGAGTCATAGTCAGACAGTTGGCCAGAGGGCCGCCAAAACTGTCAGCAACCGGAGTCAAGCTTATCATGACCGGGGTGATGCCAACAACCTTCACAGTGTCTTTGTCTTTTATCTGGTCAGCTCTGTGAAGAGTGAAGTAGTCCTGGAATTCTGGGTCAAAATACTGAAGACTGAAGTCATTTGAAATCCCAAAAGTATCCTTCACAACACTCTGCAGCTCCTCCAATGTTGGTGGGATCCCTGATGGAAGAACCAACTTCTCGATTTGGTCATCAATAATTACACGAAGCTTTGCCTCCATCTTGTTCAACCTAGAATAAAATGTAAATGGGCAGAGTTAAATTTCCCTTCAATTAAATAAAATTAGTTATTACTTTTCATTTATACAATAGTTGAGATATAAAACTATAAACAAAAAGCACACTTCAACACACCAAATGTTGCAAATAACAAATACTTGGGAGATGTACATGTTATCAAGTTTTTGTTGTTGTCGTTTTGTTTTTTGTTTTTTTTTACCTATTATTCACAGCAGATGTAACGTTTCAGGGTTACCAAGTGTTTTCTTCCCACATTGTAAGAAGCCAAGGGCCACATGTCACCACGTTTCTGCTGCTCCAAAAGACTGATCTTGCCAGTGTCCTCCAGTTGAAAAGATCTCAGATGCTCTACATACCATGCAGCAAGTAACATCACAATGAAATATACACAATTGTCCAAAACGACTATCTGTATTATCTCAGCAAAGTCTGGTAGTCCACATGTTGAACCATTAGACAGGATCATCCCAGCAGTGTATCTTGTTCCACTGTAGGTGACAGTGGTGGCAAGCTGCACACAAGTCAGAGATGGTGATCTTGCTCTTAAATCTGCCTGTATGTCTGGATGCAGCACATCTACAGGCATTCTGGATATTTTTGTGACAAGCAGGGCAGGTTTCACCTCTTTTAATTGCATGTGGTATGCCATCATCATTTGATGCCTTGTAGAAAGGGTCAGCAACACATTTTTGAAATTGTTAGTGTGTCTCACAACTTGCTTGAAAAATCTGTGTTTCGCCTCAAAGCGCATTGTCCATACTCCAACCAATGGCCCATATTTTTCTATTACAGCAGGGTAGTGCTCCAAAAAATGGTGTTTTGGTGTGAGCCTTTGATCAGGAAAAACTTCCAAATATCTGACACGATGTTCAGATATTTTAAATTCAAGGTAGGCAATACTTTGTGTTGTGTGAACAGGGGCAACCACTAACTCAACAATGTCCTTCAAAGTCAGAAGAAGTTGCCAAACAGGATCATCTTCAGGTACACGTAAACCAACAAGGAGAGGCAACAAACGTATTAGGGCCCAGTTTTCATGAGCATTTCCTCCTACAGTTTTGCGACCAGCAAAATTTGAAGGGATTGCTTGTGGACTGTTCAATTTGTCTGAGCCCTTATATGGAAAACATGTGATTATATTATTCAGTTCAGTCAAACTGAAGTAGTGCTTCTTCAAAAAAACTTGAAAACACAATGCTAACTCTCTTGGCACTATTCCCTCAAAAAGGTCATGAAGGACATCTGGTGGGTATCCAGACACAAAGTGAAAATTATTAAGTTGATCAGTTAATGGACATGACCGCTTTAAGCCAAAATGAGGCACTAAATTTGGATTTTCTTTGACAGCTTGTACGTGTAAATCATAGTCATCCTTTTTTCGAAGTGGGAAGACCCCAGACCGTACTTCATATGTCTGGTACTCTGAAGAATGTCCAAGGCAAAATCTACAAACATATGGCCCGTTAAAACTTTCAACAAGTCCACTAATTGCATGAGCACCAAGGTTATCAGCTACAACACAGTGTAGGGCGCCTTTAATATTTCTCCCTAAACATGAAATAAAACCCCCTCCTGTTCAAGAGTGACAAGATCTTTCAAAAGTGGATCCAATACTACTTTGTATTCAAACTGTTTCACATCAACGGATTTGCAAAGTAAAGCTAGTTGTATTGATGTTAAGGCAGACTGTAATCTCAATGGCAAATTGGCCAAAACCCAATAAACTGCAGTTATTTTATGTTTTTTTCGAGAGGTTCCTAATGGGTTACACACCTCAATTCATCAACATAAATTATTATAGAGAGTCTTGTTTCTTCTACAGCATAAAAGTCATTGTCCTTAAAACACGTACCATCAAAAATTGACTCAAAATGCCCAGTGCTACTTGAGCACCTCGAAAAGGCTTCCACTGCAATATCTTTGTTCTTCAGTACTTCTTGCAAAGTCTTTAGAACTGGTACATATTGAAAGCTCTTTTTTTGTTCAGCATCAAGAATATATTCAATAGGATCCACAAACTGGAAATGCTCCTTAAAATACTTATTTCTCTTGAAAGCTGAACCAAGTGGCCCGCCTGCTCCAAGAGCTCTGCTAATGGGATGAGAGCTGCACAACTGTTCAGCCAAGTCCTTTATGATAGTGTGGTCAACTGTGCATTTGTTAGATTTCAGTGCTGAATCAATTATATTTTTAACCGCCTCCACAGATGCTGAAGAAGAAATATAGAAGAGATCTTCAACCAAAGCATTAATGCACCTCACTGAAACATTGTAAGTGCTTTCTAACTTGAGTAGAAGTAAGCCAAGTCCTTGAAGAACAGTACAAGATGCACTTTCTGGATCAACATCACTAGAGCATTCATCACTGTTGAGTTCAGGGACATCAGAATGGTCAGTGTTCTGACTAGGATGACTTTCCAAGACTTCTTTCTTAAAATCAGTTAAGGAACAACATGTATGTCTCCTGCCTTTGTGCTTAGAAATGTATTGTATATGTTTGTGCGAAAGTCACATCCATTAAAAACCCAAAATACAGTTTCGTGTCTCTTCAAGTGATTTCCTATATGCTGAAAATAGTCCTTCTGAGTAGAGCAAAAAGCAGTGCAAGCCAAACACTTAAATGCAGTGATCACTCCAGGCGTTGGACTCTCTTCAGCGGTATGGTATCTGGACAAATGTGTGCGAAGGGCTCCTTGTGTTTTAAATGTGCAAGGACAACTGCCATACAGACATAGCTGGTGCTGTCCACGACCAAATGTTGCGTGTTGTAATCTGTAATGACGTAGAAGATTCCCCTTTGTAGTAGAAAAAGATTTGCATATCTTACACTGCCATCCCATTTGCCAGGTCCTAAAGTGATGGAAAATATATATCTAAGAATCTAAATAGTTTTTCATGACAAATGTAAGAGCATGGGTATCTATACACATTTGATGTTGAGATTATAGAGAAGAAGAAAAAATCCTACAAATAATAAGCAATTATTTTCTACTTATTGTTTTTACAAAAACAAATAAGTTAGATTAAGTGGGGTCAACTTGGTAATTTCATGCCGCTTCAATTTCAAAACCATTAGTTTAATTTAATATAACATGTTATCACAACTTACTTTATAATGCACAGTCTACATGCTGATCAGGTGAATTTAAGTTGAGGGATCTTCCATTACCTGAAAGGAAAGCAACATTATCATTAATCTCAGCCAAACCGATTTACTCACGAACAAATAAAACACTGAAAAAAACCAAACAATGACATTTTTAGGTTGTCTAAGTGACTTATACATTACGTTTAAACTGAGTAGCGAAACCCCGCGGTGATCTGAAAATGATGTGCCGGGAGTTGTGCCGTTCTCAGCGGCTTCAGTGACCCTCGAGCTCCCGGCTTGCTCGAGCTGGTGGGTAGCAGATGCTCCGAAAACGTCGAAGCACTTTTGCAAACATGCGATATCTTGATAAACCGAGCAGATATTTGATGTTTACACAGCTACTTTCTCGCCTGAAAATATGTTAAAAGTTTATTTTGTGACCCAGAAAGATTACTAGGAGTAATTTTAAAACTTAGTAGCGGCCGCCATTATTGGAAACTGGAGTTCGAAAAACTGACTGTGGCTGACAAAATCACTCACAACTGACCGCAAAACCTTTTCATGAACTTTTAAACGTGGATGAAAGACGTTAAAACTCATCGGAATATACCGTTGATATTTTTTAATACGGTAAAACATGTGGTTAGTTAAAGCTGTTCAGTAACACAGTCGTGAAGGCTTGGAAAGTGACCTTGTGCTAGCAGTCCACTAACTGCCATTTGTGTAAAAATACGATACTATCATTACAGTGATGATTAATAAAATTTCGACGTATCATACTGTTTAAAACCTTTACTCAAAACCGATATACGTTATTGTTTAAACCGTGTCTTATATTTGAACAAATTAAGAAGTCTTACCTCTGACAAAATGGAGACGTCCACTCATGAAGCGCGTGTGTCCTGCACGTGGCACAAAGGATTATGGGCGGAAGTGTACAATGATTAAAATGAAAATGCTTTC